GTATATATGTTTTTTTTTCTAAAGTGTCAATAATAACCGTACAATGGAAGATTAAAAATTGTGGGCAGAGAGTTTTCATAAAATGTTTTTTCTTATAATCAGCAGCCTGGGGAGAATCACCGAGGGTCAGAAATAGTTTTAAATAACAGTAAATGTGGATGAGAGGAAACGGGTCGTGTTTCAGCTCTTCTCTTGTTGTAAGTCTGCGTGGACCCGTGGTGCCGCTAAGAATACTGGACTCCTTCCAGAGGTTCAGCCTCTGGATGTTTGTGTTAATAAAACGTTAAACCTAATGTTTAACGGCTTCGTCGACTGAACTTGAGCTGACTGTTTTGACGAGTGGCTGTTTAAAAAATAGAATAAACCACTTTGTCAATTTGTCTTAACAGTGCAGATGTGCTGTAAATAAACGCTATGAATATGAATTTGTTTAAACTTACTATACATTATCATCTAAATTAATTAATTTGTCATTTAAAAATAATCATAGCAAAAATCCCATAATGTTTTAACACCAAATGTAGCAAATATTCTGTATATTTGACCAAATAAAAAGCCATTTTTAAGTTTTATTTTACAAAGAAAAGAAAAAAAAAATCTGTTGTCTTACACTGAAAATGACAGTTGTACATATTTTGAGCTCTTATTGTGAAATTTGGTCTGTCCAGCTGGATTAAATAAGTCAATAATGGGACGGCTGCATGGTCAAATAACAGCCTCGGGTCATGCAGGAGAACTGGAGGAAAACATAAATGTTCTTCCTGCCTTTCCTTCTTGTAGCCTTCAAGGAGAATATTTTTCTTTCTGTCAAACCGACATGTTTATTATTACTTTTTCAAACTGTACTGTTAAGTAATTTCCCTATAATCCAGCTGTCAACATGCAAAGAGGAGAGTTGAATTTATTGTAATATAGTGAAGGTTTGCAGTAAATATTACTAATTTTCCTTAGATTTGATTTAAAGGTTGGAGTGAATCTGTTAATGGATTTGATGCAACATCTTTTTAGCTTTTAATATTGATATGTTGTTGCTAAAATCATTTTTTCTCTTCTTCAGTAAAACTGAGGTCAAAGTTCAAGCATAATAACCCGTCAAGCCATGCTTTGTTTTATATCATGTATTGTTTTGGACAAACGCTTGCTGACGAGCACCGTGTAGCTGTTGTCATTGACTGGCCCCTGTTGTCTGATGTAAACAATAGCCTCCCTTTGTTTGCACAAATAATGTGTCTTATGTGGGGTGGGGGGTTGTGTTGGAATGATGCTTTGCACACACAGTGGATTAGTGTTGACATGAAATTATTATCAAAAGTTTTTTATACATGCAAGAGGATGGTTTATGTTTACTGATTACTCAGTGTTTCCTCTATCATTATACAGGCGGGGTGCCCCACCCCGCCAACAAAACTGAGCACCCCGCCTACCAAACTGAACGTGTCCCTCCCACCCCATCCCACCCCGGCACTGACATATCACTTAAAGGTAGTGGCGCAAAATACAGGCTCTCTAGCTAAAAAGCCCAAGGCAGCACTCACATTGCCTCTTCCCTCATGTAGAACGCCCCCCGCTCAAAAACTGTTAGTACAAGCTGCGCTCAGACATGTCTCCGTCCCCCCCATCAGCAAAAATCATGGATGAGATGAGCACCCCAGCATGGCAAGCTAACTAGGGGAAACACTGTTACTTCTTACTTATATGCCTGCTGTTGAGTAGAGCCAATTATGGATGATATTTGTGACAGTGGTTTTTAATAGCAGGTTGTGTCTCCATATATATTTGATAAATATAGATGCTCATGGTATTGATCTTTTTTAACTGCAACTAATCAAATCAAAAACTGCTTATGACTGCTCATCACTGATAACATGTTGCAAACTATAATACTATTAAAACTATTGGAATAAATTATGAGCAGAAAAATATCAGTTTCCCATTTTGAGATAGAGCAGTCCTTCGCTACTTCATGGTTCGTTTATCGCGGGCTCGCTCTATCGCGGTTTTGCAAAATAAGATTGGACATGACACACAATTGACTGATGGATGTATGAGCCACACGATCGGCATGGCGTTTTTATTTAAAATAAATTATTTTAAAATATTTATTACCTCCTGCACTTTTGTGCAGCCCACACTGCAGGATAAACGTCCTCCTGCAGCTGATCAGCTGATCTCTCTCCGTGCATAGCAGAGAAGTTGGCGTGGCCAAGAATGCTTGCAGGTATCTGAGAATAGTGGAGGCCGAGAGAGGGAAACCATGACATTTTCTTGTAGAGCGTTTAGAGTTCAGAAACATTGTTTAGAATATTTCAAGAGTGTGGCAAGGGGTACATATCTACATAATGTGAGATTTTTTTGTTACTTTCTATAAAGCCACAAGTTTGCAAACATGTTCTTAGTATATGGCAACATTGCTTTTAAACTATATGAGTTGGGTCAAACATTTTGGTTATCTGGCAAACTTCTCACAATAGTTTTCTGGATTTGGTCCCATTCCTCCTGACATTGGAGTGGATCTGAGTCAGGTTCTGGAGTCCGCCTTACTCACACACATCTTTTTTAAACTGATGTCAAACAAAGCTGGAGTGTGCTGAAGGTGTGCCATCCACATGTGTGCCTCTAATTAATTCATACGTTTGTCAGCTAGCCAACCAAATGTTTTCAAAGCTATGGTGTCATCACCATCTCAAATTGTATAACGGTGTAGTAATTCAAGTATGTGACTTTAAGTAAAGGACAAAAACCTCATTATTTGAGTAACAACTGGGAATGATTTTGTGAATCCTAACTGATCTAAAACAGGAAATATTAAGATTTAATGTCAGACAGTGAGGAAAATAATAAATGTGTCTTTTTTACAGTGAACATCTGTTTTCAGCCGTACTTAGTGTCAAAATGTTTGACTTTGTTTCACATTTTATGTCATTCCATTTTGGTATGGATGTGTTTATGGTGCTCCTGATTCTGAGGCTCTTGTCTCCACATGTCTTCCTCTCTGTAGCAGAGTCTCTGAGTGTAGCGTCCTCACCCAGAGGGGAGGTGACCCTCCAGGTTGGGTCTCCTCTCATCTTGACCTGTGAGGTGCTGGGCCTGCCGTCTGAGGTGAACTCAGGTCTGCTGGTGCAGTGGATGAAAAGGGGATCTGTAAGCAGTGATGGAGTGGGAGGAGGAGTCGAGGTATTAAAGTTTTCATTCTGTTCATTTATTTTATTGTGAATAGTTTATGATTTGACTCAGTATTTGTGTGTGTAGCAGGACGTAAAAGGGTAACAGATTATTTACCAAGGGGGGACAAAATATCAGATTAGTCTGACAGTAACATGCTTTGCTTTCTGTTAAGGTTCAGGTGGCCCAGATGAGTCCAGGTGGTATTGTGAGCTGGGGAGATGACCTCAGCAGAGCAAGTGGGGGCTCCATGGAGAAAATCGCTGAGAGGAAATACTCCCTGAAGCTCTTCTCGGCTCAGCCCTCAGACTCAGGGGTGTATCGGTGTGTGGTGAGTGTTTATGCTGGAAGGAAAAACCCTGGTCCCTCTACGCCTGCAACACTCACCCAGAGGTCAGAGGGTGTCACTGTCAACCTGAAGACCAAAGGTGAGCCTTAAGTAGCTGTTAATGCCATTTTTACATATACCATACCAGCTAGTGCTTTATGGAGAAAGTTTCTCTGTTAGCCAACCAGTTCAATCCAGAGAAGCTTTCAGACACTGTCAATTTAAATCAACTCTGAGCACGCTTGTGCTTTCATACTTTCTTCTAATACCTTCAGCACAGATGCAGACCGATGGTATTCTTCCATATTTAGTTCTTTCCGCTTTTACAGTGACTTTACAGTTCAGCAGTTCCTGTGCAATTCTGGATTTTTGAATGTCTTGTTGGAGTCTGGATGTAGGCCATGTGGCTGCAGTGAAACCTGCTACAAGTCATCCAACACTGTCTTTATATGGAAGAGGATTAGGGCTACGGTGCAATATTTTTTTTCTCTTTTATTCTGTGAAAAAAAAAAATCAGAATTCTGAGAAAAAAGTCAAAATTCTGTGATTAAAGTCAAAATTCTGTGATTAAAGTCAAAATTATGAGGAAAAAAGTCAAATTTTGAGGAAAAAGTCATATTTCTGACACTAAAGTCAGAATTATGAGATTAAAGTCAGAATTCAGAGATTAAGTCAGAATTATGAGATTAAAGTCAGAATTCAGAGAAAAAAACGTCAGAATTTTAGGAAAAAGTCAGAGTTTGAGAAAAATGACAGAATTCTGAGATTAAAGTCAGGATTTTTACTTTAATCTTGGAATTCTGAATTTAATCTCAGAATTCTGACTTTTTTTTTCTTCTAAGAATTTATGGAAAACAAATTTTTTGCACCATGGCACTAATCTAATCCTCTTCCATAGTCTTCAAGTTTAACTAAACATTTATAAAGTTAAAATTTCCTTTTTTTTTTTCTTGAGTGAACTGCAAAACATTTTGACCAATATAATGGTCCTCTTCCTATTAATAAAGACGCACCACTTTCTTTATTCAACAGACATTTTGGTTTCAGCTGTGGCTCAGCTCCCCCGTGGCCCCCTGCTGAAACGGGGAAGCACCATCACCTTAATCTGCAACGTCACTGTGACAGCCACAGGCCCCACCCAGGCTCAGGTGCAGTGGCTGCGATGGCCAATCCCCAAAATGACCAAGAAGGAATCAGCTCCATTAGAGCCCCCTGCTGTCAAAGAGCCCTCACTCATTGCTGTTCTGATGTACAGCGGTGTCGCAAATATACTAAACAATAAGAGTGAGATCAGCGTCGACCGGCTGTCCGCTGTCAGCTACAGACTGAGGGTCCACACGGTGACAGAAGAAGACCAGGGCATGTACATGTGTCGCGCTGAGGCGTGGGGGCAGGACCCACATGGAGGCTGGTACAACTCTGGGGCCAAAGCAGAGTCTAATGCAGTGACTGTGTACCTGTATGCCAGAGGTGAGAGCTTCATTGTTTTCTAAATGATTGTTACTATAGTGAATAAATATGAAGGTTTCTGTTGAAAAAACAAACATTTATCACACTTTTATTTAGTTTCATTGAATTGTAACCACTCCCCATTTTATATGTTTAAAAAAACATAGCTGGTGGCATCTGAGTAGTGATATGAGAGGATAAAGTGTTTTATTTGAGATTTTTAAGATCAATAAATGGATGGACAAGGTCTAACTGGTAACATTTGGTTTGGAGTTGGAAGACAACCAGTTTAAGTTTTAACCCTTTATTCTTGACCTCAAAATAATTATCGAGACTAGCTCTTTTGTGTTTTATGATGGAGCTTTAGGGCCACACTAAAACAAAAATTAAAAGCCATAAAATTACAAGAATAAAGTCGAATAAAATCTTAACATTACGAGAATAAAGTCGTATACAAGACTTTTTTTTTTTAGCGGATCTCTTATTTTTTTTCCCACGAGTCTGATCCATGACGCGACCTGTCAATCAATCCAGTAGGCGTGTCAGCAAACGACCAATCCGAAGCTAAATGCTCCTTACCTGCAGAGAGCTGCTGCAACCCATCAGAGCGAACCACTTTCCTGTAAGCAGGTTCAAAGTCCTGATACTGATAATAATCTGATGCTGATGTGCTAACAGATTAACTATCTCCTTATTTGTAAAACTAATACCAAAGTATAACTTAACATGATGCTCAACATTCTTCATTTTACCACAGTTAAAATGCGGTGAACCTGCGTTATTGTGTCGGAGTTCGGATAATATTCCGACTCATTTAGCTTCGGATTGGTCATTTGCTGACACGCCTACTAGATTGATTGACAGGTCGCGTTGTGGATCTGATTTGTGGGGAGAGAAAAAAAGAAGTCTCATATGACTTTATTCTCATAATATTAAGACTTTGACTTTATTCTCATAATTTTATGACTTTTAATTATTTATTTTTTTAGCGTAGTCCTAAAGCTCCGTCGTCGTAGTTACACCTTTCTCCTTTTACAGTCAGTTTTTATTAATCTTTTAGAGAAAAAGTGAAGTGGATTGATATAAATGAAGGAATTTCAACTGGAAAATATTATTAGTGATATTTTTATTACTACTGAACCTCTGAATGTTTTTGACTGAAATGATCAACAATGTGTTTGGGGTCTGTTTACAGTTATGACGGTCAATCTGTTTATTAAGTGCTGTCATTACATTTTTCATGTTGGTGCAGGTAAGCTACAGAATGATAGGAGGCCTGAGCAAATCAGAAGACTTGAACTTAAAACAATCAAAATATTTTCCATTAAATTTTATGACTAAGCTTCACTACATTTAAGGTCAGTTTTACTATCTGTACATCCTTCTGTGTCCAAATCATGATGTTTTAAATCTTTTCTTCAGTGGAAGACCTCCTCCTCATCCCTTTGGTGGTTGGAGTCTCTTCAGCTTTATTCATCGGCATCGTCATCATCTCAGCTGTAACCTGCTGCTTCATGAAGCGGTTAGCGAGACAGCGTGCCCCAAAATAAGTGTCCTACCGCCTCCAGCTGACTTCTTTTTACTGAAAGAGGCTTTGCACGGATCGTAACGAAAGGAAAAGTCCCTCAAGAAAGAACTTAAAGATAAGATCAAGTAGAAATGACTTTCACATTTTGTCTGTTAAAACTTTTTTCCGTTCAGATATTTGCTTCACGTTAATGCTAAAATGTTTAATGGTATGCACCAGTAACATAGTTTTTTAAATCGTCCAACCACTTCGTTGGGCATTTCAAGCGTGAAAATGTCTGATCGGTTCCTGTTTTCATGTGAACCTTAACCACAGTGCTAAAACAAGCATGGCTGGAACTGAAAGACTTTAACTGGATTTTTGTGAAATAAAACATCTTTGCATAAATGTAATATTTTTATACAGCCAACTGTTTTTATTTTCAGAATTGAACCTTTTATTTTTAAATATGACACTAAATATGTAGGTCACTGTGACTATTGATGAAGGTTTCCTGTAAACAAAAGCGGTTCTGTTTTCCAGCTTCTCTTTCCTTAAACTGCATGTTATTTTAATACAAAACTTCCCAGTGTGTAAATTATATGTGCATGGTTTAGGTCACATGAAGGCTGAGGAGTCTTCAGGATCCTAATATGAGCAGGGACAGCCCAGGGCAGCGCTGCACGTCAGCAAACTCTGTCTGTGAGTTAATAGATGGTTCTGTTCTGACTCAAACCACTAGAGAATGAAACAACTTTAAGCATTTCTCACCATCGCTGCTTTGTTTAATATTTGTCATGCAGGTATTTGTATTTTTTTATATTTATTCCACTGCGCTGAAATATATTTAAACAAATTCATGCATTTAAGCTGTTTTGGTAAATTAAGACTGTGCTGTATAAGTTTTTTTTGCTGTTCTTTGTTTAACATTCTGCAGCAGTCTGCTCCTTTAAGGCACTTGGACAAAAAAAATCGAGACTGGGTCCAAAACCCCTTGGGATCCTTTTACTATGACAGAGCTTTAGGGCCACGCTAAGAAATTTTTTTTAAAGCCATAAAATTATGAGAATAAAGTCATACGAAACTTTTTTTTACATTGTTTATTTTTTCCAAGAGTCGGATCCACAACGCGACCTGTCAATTAATCCAGTAGGCGTGTCAGCAAATGACCAATCCAAAGCTAAACAAGTCGTAATATTATCTGAACTCCGACACGATAAAGCAGGTTCACCGCATTTTAACTGTGATAAAATGAAGAATGTTGAGCATCTTGTTAAGTTATACTTTGCTATTGGTTTTACAAATAAGGAGATAGTTAATCTTTTAGCACATCAGCATCAGATTATTATCAGTATCAGGACTTTGAACCTGCTGACAGTAAGGTGGTACGGTCTGATGGGCTGCAGCAGTTCTCTGCAGAGGAGCATTTAGCTTCGGATTGGTCGTTTGCAGACACGCCTACTGGATTGATTGACGGGTCGCGTCATGGATCAGACTCATGGAAAAATAAAATAAACGAGCTGTAAAAAAAAAGAGTCTCGTACCACCTTATTCTCATAATTCTACGACTTTATTCTCATAATGTTATGACTTACAGGTAAAAAAAAAAGTTCTTAGCGTGGCCCTAAAGCTCCGTCGTATTTTACTTACTTATCCTGGAGTTTAAAAGTCGTATCCGTATTTTATTTTATTTTTGTTCCCATTCATTGGATTAATGCTTCCTGTGATCTGTTGAGTGCTTGTTTTAAAAAAAGCAGTTCTGTGACATACAGCTTGTTTGTTCCACTGACTAACAGCATTGTGTTGTTTCATGTGTGTGCTTGTCTTTAATGGAAACTTGTCCCCTAAAGTGATTTTTTTTTTTTTCCGAGGGGGTGCAGCCATATGACTGGATGATTTAGTGAAGTCTCTCTATGATCATCATCATCCCCATCATGTGGTTCGGATCTCTTAGTTATGCTGCCAAGGCTTGTTATGACTGTAGCTCCTGTTGCAAGCCCTCAGAAATCTGCTGGAGTGATTTAGTTTGTCTGTGCACGTAAGATGGATAAAATCTGTCCTCTGCTTCGTGCTGAAAGAAGCGTTCGGTCATGTCAAGGTAAATCCAGGGACTTTCTGTCTCTCTTTGTTTGAATCTCCCCGTTCTTTCTAGCTGCTGTTTCCAAATTCCTGATTATAAAGGTACACACACATTTAAGGAGTAAAACCACATCTCTGCTTGCTTCCTGAGCCACTTTTTGTTAAAGTTGATCCCATAAATGTCACGGAGCTACATGCACAGCGACAGGACGGTGCTGGCTGCTATGTCAGATAGCAGTAAGTGAGTATTTGCTTGTTCTTCATCTCTAATCCCTGTTTATGGCTGCAATGACTCCTGCCCTTCCCCCACGCCGCGTGAGGCTCACATACGATCCATTTCAACCACTGTTCCCTGAGAATTACACTCATCTGTGAAGAGTTTTGCACATTGTATGCATAATAGAAAAGCACCAAAGTGTTGGTTTTGTTTTAAGTACCACTGTTCCTGAATGCATCTTACTGCCACTGGAGAAAAAAGTACTTAAAAGCTGGTTGTTCTGTCCTGCTACTTATGGTGCTTTGACAAACCTGCAGCTGATGAAACCAATAAACCACTCTGGATTATTTTTGTGACTTTACTTTCTATTTGCCTTTTTTTTATTCAGATTTGTTTATTTCAAAGTTGATCATGGCCAGCTTAGTGACTGCGGTACATTCTGCAGGAAGGAAATTGAATCCAGTCTGTTGGACAGAGCTCATGTGCTTCACTTACTATTTTATTGTTAAGTGCTACAAACCAGAACATTTCTTTGTGAATGCTGTGGTTTCCATGTTGGAAGCAGTGAAGCAGAGGCTCTAGTTTCAGATCAAGTTGTGCGCTTATTCTTATGCAGGCATATTTAAAAGAATAATTTAGCTAAAAAAAAAGCAATTCATAATTATTTAATTTAAAAAATGTAAACATAATGAAAAGTACTCCTGTAAAAGTAAGAAATTATATTCATCAGCAATAGTGTTATCCTCGCAAAGCATTTTGAAATCATTCATCCTGTTGTGGTTTCAAATTCAACAAATTTACATTTCATTTAGCTGCTGCTTCTTTTTTTTAAGCTGCTTGCTGTAGCAAACAGTCTGATCTGCTATAAGACAAGTTTGAGAAAATTAAGAGCCCAGAATTCAGACAGAAACTGCATCGGTACAAATCTAGATTTGTATTTTACAAAGAAAAAGCTTAATCTTGCCCAAATAACTTTCAAGGCCAACGTTTGGTTTATTTGCTCTGCCCCCATGTGGCCAAATATATGTTGCAAATGATTTGTTTAAATGCAAACCACTTCTTTTTTTAAAGCTTTAAATTCAACAGAAAGGACAACTAAAGGCCTTCCAAGCATGGAACTTCAATCTACAAAGCTTTACTAGATAAAAGAACTGTGTTAAACTCAAGCAAATAAAGAAAATGCTTTAAAAAGCAAGCTTTTAACTGCAGACAAAAATCCATTAAAATGTACTTTTCCTCTAAAAGTTTCCTGTCTGTGCCTTTTAAACTGTGGTGTATCAGTTTCCAGAGCATTACGTGACTAATGCAAACAATACCAGCGTTAACGCTTCCTGTATGATGATGCAGGCAGGAAGGCAAACTGAGGCTTTGTGGCGTTCTGATAAGACGCTGGAGACTCTAGTTGGTTGATTGATTTAAATACATGCTTCATCAGCTAATCCCTGATAAGTAAAACATTAAAAAAAATAAAATTTTACCAAAAAACATGCAATAATGCGCAGCAGTCTTTAAACCCATCTGCTTTGGTGCACTTTAAAAATGCTGATTGAACTTTGTAACAATATAAAAAGTAGGGAAATGCAACTAAAGACAAAAATATCTAATAATTCAAGAATAAAAGTATTTCCTGTTCAAGTTTTGTAAGAAACCTCAATGTAAATTCAGTGTAAATAACTTTTTAACAAAAGTTAAATTGCTCACAACATGTGAACTAAGATATGAAATGATAAATTTCCAGAATAACAATGAAAAATAATGTTGAATGAACATAAAAAATTAAAAATAAGTGAGTCAATGAGTGGTTAGAGCAGTCCTCCTCCAGTGGGAGAGTTGAGGGTTCGATTCCAGCAGCAGTCACATGTTGAAAGTGTCCATGGGCAAGAAACTGAACCCCTCATTACCTTGTATGTGTGTCCCATCGGTGTACGAATGTGATAAAACACTGATTAGTCTCTACAGAGTCAGATTAGCTAGTAGAGATGTACTGTAGTGCTGTGTGGAGGTAAATGAGGGCGCAGATTGAAGTGTAAATCACTTTGAGTGTCTTGATAAGATAGACCATTATATTTAGTAAATCCAACTTTGTTCAGAATAATATAGGTGCTTTTTATTGCCAGGGTGAATACAATTTATTCCATTTTCTTTAAAAGAAAAATGTTTTTCTTTATATAGATACTATCACATTAGTTGTAACTTTTTATTATTTGAACAACTCAGAGAAAGGAAACAATCTTATTTTATAAACTACTTTGTGTGACATTTGCAAAGTTTTATTTATTTATTTCATTTATTTTATATATTTATGAGACAGGCGGTACAGTGGCGCAGAGCTGCCGCCTCTCAGTGAGCAGGTCGCTGGTCCAAATCCTGACCAGGGGCCTTTTGGGGTGGAGTATGCATGTTATTTTTGTGCATGCACAGGTTTTCTCCAGGTATTCCGGTTTTCCTCAGTGACCCCTGTGACCCCAACAAAGGAAGAAGCGGGTAAAGATAATGGATGGATGGTTATCTGAGACTAGAATGATGTTTTTAAAGTACCGATTGGTTCATTCAATAAGTAATTTCAAGCTGGAGTAATGACGTTTTCTGTAGAAATGCTTTGTGCGCGCTGAGTGCTAAAAGACTGAAGAAACATGCAGAAGAAGCTGAAATTGTTAGCATTAAAAGGAACAGAACACTAACTAAAAGCTAAAACTTCAAAAAGGCTAGCAAAAAGCTCAATATAGCAAAACTCTAGTCCAAAGAAACAGCAAAATATTAGCCAAAAGCTAAATGGAGCTCAAAGCTAAAACAGCAAATCACTACCCCAAAAGTTAAAAATTGCTAATGACTAAAAGCAAGGGATAAAATACAGCAAGTACTCTGAAGTAAATTGAACATAAGGAATTAATAGATCTTTATGTATATTTATATGGAAAAATATTTGTATGTAAAGTTTGTATATTTTGTAATACTTTGAAAAATAATAACAAAAACAATAAAACAATACATCAAACAAATGTCATAGCTTGAGTGTCCTAAATGGGCTGGTTTGACATCTGTGTGGTTAAAATAACACAAAGTAAATAAAAGTAGTAAGAAAAATGAACAGAAGAAGAGAAAAAGTAAAGAGAAACAGGATCATTAGAGCGTAAACAGAGACTCAGCGTTCACACCATTAGGTCAACCAGTCCAGTTCAGCTGAGAACCAGCCAGATCACAGTAATCAATCCTAAAAGATACTGTCCACTCTGTCCTTACTGAAACAGCATAATGGACTAATTCTGAAAAAACAACAGCAAACAATGCTTTTTCCCCCCCATTCAAATATTTATTTAAGATTTACATACAATTAACAAAAATAAATTATTTCACAAACATGAACTCAGTATGCAAATGTCTCTTTTTTTGTCAAATAAATATGTCTTAGTTGCTTTTTGTTGCGTAGAACTGATACATTTATACACTTAAACGCTCCTTCTGTCCCTTTTTACACTGTTCTACTAGCACTGCATAAAGAATGACAACAGAAAAACCGCTGGCATGGTGTACAAACACCAGCACCGTCGTAAGCTTTAAAAGAGCCCTTGAGACGGTGAAACGAAAACCATCGAAGACAAAAGAAATCCGCTGCTTATTTCCAACTCTTTCAAGTTAAGTCCGTCCTTGTCTCCATTTTTTCAGCCCATCTCGGCATTCGTCTTGAGCTGTTCTGCAGAAATTCAACCTCATGTCTGATAGCTGCAGGACCAGGATCGAGGCAACACCGCCTCCCAGAAACCATCCTGTTGAAGAAGAGGAGGAGAATTATTGAAAGGGTACATGCAACCTTCTATTAATATCTGCATTCACTACATATAAGTATTTATAATCACATATCATTTTGCCGAGAGTACTTCTATTTTTGTTAAGCCGTTGTGAGTGTGGCTTTTGAGGATTTTATTCTTCAGGGCTACACAGATGCAGAGATTCATGGTGTTAAGAGTGTTAAATTCAGCTGTGCACATCTGTCAGTCTCCACAGCTTTGTCTTTATCAAACGCCTGGCGTAAGGCAGAGGCTTTCTGAGGGTTCAGCATCAGTTTCACACTCATACAGTAATACTCTATATGAGCTGCAGTGTGTAAGATTAAATAGCTATTTTTCATTTGGATGTTTACTAAAATGTAATTTATGTTGCAACTGGGATAAAAGATGGGAAAAGATGATAAAGAAATCAGGTTATGCCTTGTTTGTGTCTCCAAAAGACACTTTTGACATCTGCATGATGTTCAATGTCAGATTTATCAAGAAACAGTTTTTGTAAAGCGCAAATATAGAATGTGAAAATGTTTATGTCCAGTGCCTTCAGCTGTGTTCAGAGATCATTCACTTGCTGGTCTATTTTTATCGTCTGCTGCCAAAAGAGGCAGCAATCATTTTGTGTGTGTGGGCATGAGTGTGTTAATTTGTCTACAGCTCTAGAAAAATTAATTATTAATCCCAGGATGGATTTAAATGAAACTCTTAGAGCATTATTATTGAACATACATCTATTGACCTTATATAATCAACTCTGTTTAAGATGGCCACTAAAGCTAAGTTAACTTATCAAACACAACAATGGCTACAAAATATCCATCCATCCATCCATTATCTTTACCCGCTTATTCCATTTTGGGTCATGGGGGTCGCTGGTGCCCATGTCCAGCAATCACTGTGCGAGGGGCGGGGTACACCCTGGACGGGTCGCAAGTCCATCACAGGGACACATAGAGACAAATGAGACAAACAACCATTCACTCTCTCACTCACACCTAGGGACAATTTAGAGTTACCAATCAGCCTAACATGCATGTTTTTGGTCTGTGGGAGGAAACCGGAGTACCCGGAGAAAACCCACGCATGCACGGGGAGAACATGCAAGCTCCACCCAGAAGGCACCTGGACCGGGGTTTGAACCAGGGACCTGTTTGCTGAGAGGCAGCAGCTCTACCAGTTGCGCCACCGTGCTGCCGGCTACAAAATATGTTATATATTAAAAATACTGAGAGTCATTTTTAATACGTGTGCTAGATCTCATGATATTGCATGAGACTGAACACAAAATCATTTTCATATGATTCTAATAATGAAGGTTTAGACAGTTTAAGCATTTCACCACTACTGCAGTTTCTCATGGAGGGAAAATGTAGGTTATCTAATTAAATTATTTGTGCCTTCAAATACATCATAAAACTCAGCAAAAGCAGAACCTGGAGTTGATATACTGAAAAGAAGGTTTATTCACTCATTCTGTCAGTTTTTTTTTTTTTACTTTCACACTTTACTATAATTCATCACTGAATGAAACACAGAAATGTTCATTTTTATATCTGACTGAAAACAGTTTCAAAATGAAAAAGGTCATTTTAGGATTTTAATCAAGCTTTTTAGAGCTGCAGCTATGTTTTGTTAATAAAGGCCTTTTGTGTGTGAGATCTGAGGCAACATCAGTGGTTCCCAACCCTGGTCCCTGAGGAACACCACACCTGATACAGAGATTTAATTACGTCCTCGGGTTCTGCAGAAGCCTGTTCATAACCCATCCATTCAAACCAGGTGTATAAAAGCAGGAAACAACTAAAACATGCAGGATGGTGTTCCTCAGGGACCAGTGTTAGGAACCACCAATCTAACACATGGGTTGATAAATACAGTATATAAAAATAGAACAGAAAAACACAACATTTACGAGCAGAGCTCTCTAACCATGACTTCAGTCAGAAAACATGTAAGCAGTGCATACCCCGATCCGCGGGCAGTGGATCTGTGCGTACCACTCCTGGCAGTACAGACACACCTGGACGCCCTGCCCCAGGAAGAGACACGTCCACATGATGATGTTGAACACCGGGCTCTGTCGCTTATCATTCATGGTAAAGTTGAACGCCACTAAAGGAGGAGGACACGAGAGGAAGTGATGTGGATGACCAGGTTAATTAGTAACGGGTTATCTGTGTTGTGGCAGGGTTGATGTGAGGGCGAGTGAAGAGACAAATAGGTGAAAGGTGAACTGCAAGGACCTAAACACTAAAACTGAGCCAGGAGGATAGGGACAAAATGCACAAATGTATTTATGCACACTGAGCTCTGTGGAAACCATTTTAAATGTGTCAAAATAGAAGAATAAGCTAAAGTATTGGAATTCTGAAAGTACAGTTTATAACAAAAAACAGATTTACGCATATCATTAACCAGCTGTGAACAAGCTATAAAATAATATTTATTATATCCTTTGTCAGAGCACATAGTCACTATAATTTATAAAGTACTAAAGATGATGATCTAAGCTCATCCCTTACCTCCAAAGACTGCAAAGAGGAGGAACATGACGGGATAGAAGAAGCCGAAACCCATGGATAAAGCATATTCATGGACAACCGCAGAGACGATAAATACAGAGAGCATGGCTGCTGCTCTGAATCTCTTATTGGACAGCTGAGAGATCCAAAAAAACGAGAAGAAAGGACGTTTTAGGTCAACGTTCAGGGATTAGACTTTAGGAACACCAGTTTTTGTCATGTTCTGGCGACGTGCTCACCCAGAGAAAGTCTCTGTATCCGTAGTAATAGAGCCAGTCGTGAACGACGACATTCCAGGTTCGATAATAGTTTGCAAAAGATGTAGAGTTCCACCAGTCCTGAAACAAACACAATATTGAGCGAGACTGGATCAAATGGGGATTTTCTTGTTTTAAGGCCTGAATAACTCTGGGGAAAGATGCAATTAATCATCCTCGCTGACGTGAATGATTTCATGTGTGGTTGTTTTCAGGTGAGCCAGGTGGAGAGGCAAAACAGTTTGATTTTTTTCTGAAACCACATGAGCATTACAAATCAATTACACCTCAAAAGCTCAACTGTCTCAACACTTTGAAGGTCGAGGCTAAACCTGAAGACTTGGCAGCTCTGATCAATGAAAGACAAGTTAAATAGGTGTTAAATAGGGTTTTTATTTCCCAAACATTATATTCAAATAGAAGAAAGTGTGTGGGTAAACACGTCTACAACTTTGTTTCTTTTCTAAAAACAGCAGTGGCAGAAACGTAGGCGTAGACAAAGAAACGTTATAGAAAATGTGGAATATGCCTCATCAATGCTAACAAATTATACAAAAGACTCTAACATAGAATGTAAATTTAATATACAGTTTTTTTTTTTTTTTTATATATATTACCTGCTGCCAAAGGTGAGAGGGCTGATATCTTTGCCCGTGTTTGTATGTTGTGTTAGCAAAAAATCTCATGTAATTTAATTAAACTCTCAAAAAGTTATCATTGGACACACACCTATGACTGATAACTTTTTGGAGCCAGCCACATTCAAGATGGCTTCCATACCCAACTTAATAAAAACACAGAAAAGGCTGTGACTCAGTCAGTTTTACAGATATTGACCAAACATTCGGTGTGGTAGTAGCCATGACTGATTTCCAACACACAACGAGCGTTACTTTATACATAATGCATTATTTTAAGAAGTGCTGGACCTTTAATTTTAAAAGCATATTTAGCATGGGAGCTTTTATTGGTCAACATTGTGCTCTTAGCTCTAGTTGACAAGTTTCACACACCTTGTAGAACATCCTGTCAGCAAAACGCAGCAGTTCCCCGAAGAGGTTGAGCCAGCAGTGCAGAAAAGCAAAGAAACACAGCAGGAGGAGCATTATCCCTGAAACCCAAAGATGGGGGACGTCAAGCGGAACGCATTTAGTTTGAACACAGCGCCCAGGTTTCTGGAAAGAACTGTAACTCGACACTGGTGCTTTAAAATCAGCAATTTACTCTAAAAGCTCTCCACTTTACGACAGTAATAAACCTGCCAGGCTTTAATTACCTGGATCTTGTATCAAAATAGCATCTTTAATCTTATCACTGACCCTGATACACTACAGTCACTTGGTGCGCTTAATAGGATGCAATATATTTGCCAGTGCTAACACACTGCACATTGATTCCTGCTAGTATTTTTATGTCACAGGAAAAATACCTGGTAATATGGAGTTGAAGATGGCCAGAACCATTGTTCTTTTACTAAAGGGCTGGTTGGTCTCAGGTCTGAAGACGGGAATACAGAGACGGACCAGGATGAAGTAGCCGTAGAACAGGCATCCCAAAATCTACAAACAGATCATCGATTAATGACAGATGAAATGAAAAAGAAAAACATAAAGCTCAATATCTAAACAGATGTAAAGAGGGTGGTGTTATTTATGATGTCAGTAAGTACTAATTCACATTTTGTGTGCACTGTGATGGTGTAAACCAGGGCTATTCAACTAAATTGTTCGGAGGGGGGGGGGGGGGGCAGACGTACAGCCATTATTGTCACTTAGTTAGTTTGTTTTATGATTTAAAATCTACTTTTATTTAAAATGAACACATTAGTGGCCAAACTGAATTCATCCATGGGTCTGAGTTGGCCCCCGGGCCGCCAGTTGAATAGTCCTGATGTAAACCAAACCTTTCTTTTCCTAACCCAGATCTCAACCAGCGTTCTTCATGAACTGTATCATTTACTCCAACTACAAACTCAATACATCTGAAATGAAGTTCTTGAGCTGAAATAAGAGTTTCATCTTACCTTGCCAAGAGTAACACCAACATATTTCCATCGTATTTGACTGTTTCTGTGATGAAAAGACAGAGGGATGTTAGAAACGTTAAGATGTCTGCGGGTCGGCCTCTTTCCCACGGACCCCATCAGAGCTTTTCAGACTAGACGAGTTCAGAAGTCAGATGGAAAACCTCAGACTCCGTGTCGAGTTCTTTGAACCATTAGTTTTCTGCAGTTTCTCCTGTGATTTCCTGCTGAGGAGGAACTGCTAGGAAAGTGCTGCTGTTCTGTGGGAGGTGTGATTGCTCTGTAGAAGTGTTTAGGCAGGTGGTAAAGTGTCAACGTAACATCCATATGAATGTCAAGGCTTTTATTTCTACAGATCACTGACTTGAAATGTTTACTCATTTTACCTTTTATTTTCATGTTAAAACTGATCAATGTGTGTGTCAGTGTGCATATACTTTATAAATGTATATGAATGTAATATTTCTCATGATGTGTTTTAAACTATTTTATGCTAATAAACGATGGAGTCTTGGCCATTTTGACCAAACCTTAAAAATGATCCAACAAAGTTAATTTGGGCCTTCTGGCCAGTTTCTTATTTTGTTGAGACGTTTTGTCCTTCATCCAAAGGACTTCATCAGTCCGAGGAGCCACAGCAAACTCAGTCCCATAAGTGGCTTACTCACATAGTGGGTGTGATAGTGAATAGTGGATTATTGAGCATGAACTTTGATGTTTTGAACCACTTTGGCTATGGCTGCCTCAGGGGAGTTGACAAGGGAGAGGGAGGATTACAGAAACCACCATTGAACTGGTTGGCCCACCATGTGAGTAAGCCACTTATGGGACTGAGTTTGTTGCAGCTCCTAAGACTGATGAAGTCCTTTGGATGAAAGACAAAATGTTTCAACAAAAAAAAAAAAAAAAAAAAAAAAGAAAGAAACCGTCCAGAGGATCTGACTTAACTTTGTTGGATTTTTTACCTGGATTATTAAGCATAACCTTTGAGCTTAAAACATGATGTGCACAATCTTATGCAACATCACATGAAGTCATGCTCAGAGTATGTGTTGTGAATGACTCACAGCTATGACCACTTTATATTTTAGCTCTGTATCTGTTACACTGACAGAGATGCAACCCTTTTTGTGTTGGCTAATGTTGAGTAGCTGTCGTGGTTAAGTTAGTTTGACTCCAAAAGGTTGGATTGAGTCCTAAAGTCTAAAAGAAGAACATCCAATGATGTGGGCAATTATAAGATGTGCCATATAATAATAATAATAATAATAATAATAATAATAATAATAATAATAATAATAATAATAATTTTAATTTGTAACACACTTTTCATTAACAAAAATCTCAAAGTGCTACAAAGTGCAACTAAAATCAATGATAAAATCATGTGAGGGCAGAATAGGCTTGCTTAAAAAGAAAGGTCTTTAAGCCTTTTTTTAAACAGTGGTGCTCAGCCTATCTCAAAAACATAATGAAGGCAGTATGACTTACCGAGGATACAACTCCCTGTAGATAAGGGTTGGACAGAAGAGGAAGTACAGATAGCTGGAGAATGTTGGAAACCTGGGCTTTTCCCCTGAAATTCAGACAGTTCAGTTATCACTATGACAAATATTCAGTTTGAGCTGCACAAATGTTACTCAATAATATGTTTAATGAGTAATAAATCAAAATTCAGGTTAAAAAAACCCCACATTTTTAAGGTATGTGGTCCACACTACATGTGATGATGTTTAGAATCACATTTAGTCACATTTAGACATGAAAAGTTCACTATTTTCACATTTTTTTGTTTATTTCTTCAATAAATAATGCCACAATGCTCACCTAATTTACTTTGAAAGATCAATGTAACAATAACTCTCAGACAAGTTCATATTTGGACTTCTTTATTGTGCTGAGGTGTTTTTATTGTTGGGTTTAATGTCAGCATAAATCATTTTCTAGGTTTAGTTTTAGTCATTTTCCCCATGTGTCTGGGAGTGTCACTGTGAGTAATGAAAGTGCCGGCGGAGTAAATACACCTAGCGTCAAAAAAATACGGTACATTACCTTCTTTTGGACAATTCTTTATACAAACAGGAACTGTTTCTCTTATGAACGAGTAGGTTTTCATCTGAAATCGAATCTGAGACGATTGGACAAAGTTAGAAGAATCAATGTTAAATGTTTCTGCATTGTATCTTTTCAACAACTGGAAACATTAACATGCAGCCAAACATGCAATCGCACTTACCTGCTCCATAATCACAATGAAGCGTGATGCTGGTGGCAGCTGGTGGTGCACAACAGTGTAGATTGGGAACAGTCCCAGAACGCAGGTCTGTATGACCGACAGGACCAACCCCATCCCCAGGGACAGCCCCAACTTGTAGGGGAATTTGTGGTATAAAGAACCCCAAAAGTCCAGGGTGTAGTAGGGAACAAACAGGGTGTAAACAAACATAACCACCCAGGCCCAGGTGACTGTCTCCAGCTTCCCAAAAGCATAAAACAGCAAGTCAAACTCCAAGACCAACCTGAAAGTAAAAAAATTACACAAATCATCATTAAATGGCCAAAGTAGAAATTGTTTTTTAAAATAGATGTGAACCTTTTCAATAAATGTAAAGAAGATGTCATAATCTGGGCGTTTTCTCATGAAGACTCCCTGCTCATGCTCCATGTTCTGTGTGACGTTCTGGTTTTTGTCTCTCTTCATGCCCTCTTATTATTCGTGTAGGTGTTTGCTGCACGTCAGCCCTTTTGTTTGTTTTTTTCATTAAAGATTTTTTACTTTTAACCTGAGTTATCCGAGTCCTCCCGGAATTTTGGGTGCTGACCGTTACAGAAGAAAACATTTTAATTTACTGCATTTTCTGCTTTAATGTTTTCTGGTAACCCTTTTCTCACTTTTAAAGCTTTAATTAGGATAAATAGCTCATCATCATCATCAACTTTATTTATAAAGTGCTTTAACACCAGCCACAGCTGAAACACAGTGCTGAACATCAGCTAAACACTTTGATATTGTTTCTCTCATTTTATATATCTTCCTTTGTGATAACAGCGAAAGTGTACAATGCTCACTTCAACATTCTTTCATGCTAATTATTATTATATCCTACCCCTGAATGTGCAAGGGAGGATATGTTTTTGCTTGTGTGTTTGTCCATGCTATGGTGGCCCTAAGGTGTAAATGAACAACATTTGAAAAAACGGAATTGCATTTACACTTCCGCTTTGACTTAATGTAGTTCGTTTTTTTCAAATGTAATTCTATTTTTCTAATGTGATTCGGGTCACTTCCGCCTTCACTTAATGTAATTCAGTTTTTTCTAATGTGATTCCGTTTTTTTCAAATGTAATTCAGTTTTTTCAAATGTAATTCAGTTTTTTCTAATGTGATTCCATTTTTTCAAATGTAATTCAGTTTTTTTCTAACGTGATTCCGTTTTTTCAAATGTAATTCAGTTTTTTCTAATGTGGTTCCGTTTTTTCAAATGTAATTCAATTTTTTCTAATGTGATTCCGTTTTTTCAAATGTAATTCAATTTTTTCTAATGTGATTCCGTTTTTCAAATGTAATTCAGTTTTTTCTAATGTGATTCAGTTTTTTCAAATGTAATTCAGTTTTTTCTAATGTGATTCCGTTTTTTCTAATGTGATTCGGGTCACTTCCGCCTTCACTTAATGTAATTCAGTTTTTTCTAATGTGATTCCGTTTTTTTCAAATGTAATTCAGTTTTTTCAAATGTAGTTCAGTTTTTTCTAATGTGATTCCATTTTTTCAAATGTAATTCAGTTTTTTTCTAATGTGATTCCGTTTTTTCAAATGTAATTCAGTTTTTTCTAACGTGATTCTGTTTTTTCAAATGTAATTCAGTTTTTTCTAATGTGATTCCATTTTTTCTAATGTAATTCAGTTTTTTCTAATGTGGTTCTGTTTTTTTCAAATGTAATTCTGTTTTTTTCTAATGTGATTCGGGCCACTTCCGCTTTGGCTTAATGTAATTCCGTTTTTTCAAATGTAATTCCGTTTTTTCAAATGTAATTCCGTTTTTTCAAATGTAATTCCGTTTTTTCCAAATGTTGTATATTTACACCTTAGGGCCACTGTACCTTACAATTACAAACATTAAAATACCTCATGCAAAGGATGGGTTTCAATGAAACTCTCAAAAAAGAGTCAACTTGACTCAAGATGGCCACCACAGATATCAGTCTTAGCCAGCACAAACATGGCTTTATTGTAGCTTAATGTTGTGCTGAAATTTGGCATGGTAGTAGCGAGATGCTCTTTCTGATCATAAGATCATGTTGGTTTGAAACTCTGGCATGAAAGGCGGCCGAGCACTTTGCATGCCTTCAAGGAATTTAATATATTTATTAGTTTTTTTTCCAGTTATCTTTGTCAAAATCAATGCTAACCAAGGTTAAATCTGTCAGATAATTTGCACACAGAGGAGTTTTCTTTTGAAGCTTGTTCTCAGATGAAAAAAATATTTGAAACTGCAAACAACAAACTAAATCATTACTGAGCTGCCCAAAGCAATCGGAGCAACTCTCAGAAGGATTGATTATGTTCTCCCCTGCTGCCAGATGAGCGGAGGAGCAGCGAGGGAAGCAACACAATGAGGAGAAACGTTTAAAAAATGAGCAGAGAAGGAAGTTTCTTAAAGGGCTTTTGGCTATAATTAAGTTCTATTCGATTTGGTTCACGGTCATGAAGCTTGAGAAGCGTCTGACCATAAAAATCTACAGACAAAAGCACAGATGTGTGAGACCTGAAAGAAAAACCTGGATGTTTTACTGCTGCTGTGGCGTCTCGTTTAGTCTGAAGAGGACATTCAGCGTGAATTGTTTAGGTCCTCCAAGAGAGAAATGATTGCAAATCAATATAAACAGGTTCTGGTTATCACCTTTTTACTGTTATAAAATGTTTTTATCCTGAAGGGAACAATTTCTTCCAGGATGACAACGCTCCAATAAGTACAGGGCTGACTGAAATGTTAGATGATTAAAAAACAACGTACATGTTTCCACCTCACCCTCTTTGTGTGATTGCTGAGTCAGCATTAACTGATGTTTCCATCATTTTTGTTCTCTTTAAAATTGGCATTAGCATACTGGCTTTAATTTAGCCTTCTTGTGTTTCTTTTAGCTGACATTTTGCTACATTTAGCTAGTCTTTTAGTACTTTGAGCTTCTGATTGGCTTTTTAATTATTTTAGCTAACATTTATTTTAATTAGGATTTCGTTATTTTTAGCTTTTAGTTAACCTTTTTGCTGTTGACTTTTAGCTCCCCTTTAGCTAAAATGTAGCTACTTTTGGCTTCTAGCTACGCTTTTGCTACTCTAGCTTTTAACTATGGGGCATCACAGTGACACAGTTATTAGAGCTGTCACCTTTCAGTGAGAAGGTCGCTGGGTCAAATCTGGGCCGAGGACCGTGGAGTTTGCATGTTCTCTCCGTGCATGCGTGGGCTTTCTCAAGGTAGCTACTCCAGTTTCCTCCGACAGACCAAAAAACATGCAAGTTATTGGTAACTTAAAATCGTCACTAGGTGTGAGTGAGAGAGTGAATGGTTGTTTGTCTCTAGTGTCCCTGTGATGGACTGGAGACCTGTCCAGGGTGTCCCCCGCCTCTCTCATAGTGACTGCTGGATATGGGCACCAGAAACCACCGTGATTCAGAAAGGAAGTTGCAGGTAAAGATAATGGCTGGATGGCATTTTTCTATACTTTTGTTGCTTTTAGCTATTTTTTAGCTGCATTTTCTTCTTTCGGCTGCTCCCTTCTTCAGGGGTCTCCACAGAGCATTAAGTCGCACGAAGACTTGGCAATTATTTTTACGCCAGATGCCCTTCCTGACGCAACCGCAGACCACTGAGCTACCACAGCCCTCTGTGTGGAGCAGCTGCTATCTAGGGTGCCCAGGGAAGCAGATGGTGGAGGTTAAGGGTCTTGCTCAAGGGCCCAGAGTGGGGCAAATGAGGGTGGAGGCAGGTGTGGGTGTTTCATCTTTCCCACCCACACTTTGATGCTGTTGGTACGGGGAGTTGAACCGGCGACCTTCCGATCACAGGCCCACCTTCTCTAACCTCTGTTCCACCACTCCCCTATAATTTTGCTGCATATAGCTAGCATTTTTTTCTACATTTAGCTTTTAGCTAGCATTTTGGTACTTTTATCATATAGCTATCTTGTTTTGTTTTTTTTAGCTTATGGCTAGTGTTCTTCATTTAGCTTTATTAATCAGTTTTAGATTTTAGTAACACATTTTAGCAAATTCATTCAACATTTGGCTTTCCTAATGTATTCTTTGCAGAAATCTTTTGTCATAATCATCATTAATAAATGAGGGGAAAAGAGTGTTTGATTATTCCCAGAAAGCACCACAGTTAATAGAATTTTGTTGGATGTAGAAAAGGTGTTGTTTTGACTTTTAATTCATCATTATTCTGCACATGCACTTATGTCACAGACCTGCCCTGATCGATGTAGTCCACAGCCAGGGTGCTCAAACAGAAGATGAGCAGAACAGCGATGAACATGTGGTAGATGGTCCTGATGTGGCTGATCTCAAACAGTTCGCTGATGGAGAGAAGACAACATTAAAAAAAAATTAAAATAAAATAAAATAAATTAAAAAGTTATGAAAATCTAAATAAGATGGAAATTGACAGCACCGGTGGGACAGTACTCATTAAATTCTGCCTTTTATATTGTAAATTCCTGTAACATTTCCTGGCTAAAATGGTACTTGTTCAGTTTCTGTTCAGGATTAAAAGGAATAGTAAAGTACCAGTAAATCAACATTTTGGGTATGTGGAAACATTTATTTTTTCCCCGATTTGTATTTAAGCAGGTTACAGATGATTAGTCACATAACTCTTAAGCATGAAGAGTTATGTACTGTTTGTTTATTTATTTATTTATTCATGCTGTTGAGTCTTGGAACTGTTGCTAAGACAAAACAAGACACAGAAAGATGTGTCCTTTCTCAGAAAACTTTCAGTAAAATCTTTTTCTTCACTGAGAGCTGCACTTTCATTTTTTTTTTGTTTTGTCTCTGCATCTTTATTACTCACTCCAGCAGCGACGCCCGTTCCATGAACACTTTGCCATTGTCCATTCTCTGCGCTCTATCACAAATCACAAGACAAACAGTCAGACATGTGCTACAGGAATCTACAAACCAGCGTGTGGGATTGTAAACTCTGCAGCCCTCTCACCTGGATGGCTGTTTCTGACTTGTTTTTCCATTTAATATGGACCTAATGTGAGAGGGGGGCTCAATGGAGTCGGTCAGAGCTTTGTCAAGAATTTCACCCAGCTGATCTTGGACCTGGTCCAAAACCTTCACCTTTAGCTTCTACACACGTGCGAAAAAAAAAAAGGGTTATTTCATTCCAGTTTGTTTTTCCTCTCTGTCCTTGTATGTGTTTCACATTTCTAATGAGATGGCGCCCCTTTAGTTCCACTGCTTCCCTCTTCCTGTTTCATTTGGAGCTCAGTGCAGAAACACCAATAAAATGTTGGATGTAAATGAGTGAGAAGCATCTGATTTACCTGTACATATTTTTGCCACTGTCTTAGATCTTCCTCCTGCTCATAAGCACGACTCCCATCTGCAGAGGGAGGAACAGATGTTGCTCAAACCGTCTCAACCTCACAATTTACATCCCATTTTTATTCCTAAAACTGTATTATGTTGAGCTGTGAGACTGTAAATCCAGCACTTTGCATAATTGTTGCACTGATCTTACATGTTATAGTTTAAGGAGATGGCTTTAGATTTTTGTTGGTTTTGAAATACATCAAAAGACACAAAAGCTTCAACCAACCCATCTATTCACAACTCTTTGTTTTCACGTTTTTATACAGTGATTAAAATGCAAAACTCCTTCCGACAAAACACCGTTTGACTACGATACCATGACTGGAGGTGTCTTCTTCCTGACAGGTCTTGATGTTTCGATGTCGTGGACCATTAGGGGGCTCTGTTGTCATGGTTACGCCTGAAAAGGATCACAATGTTATGGAACCAACAACTGGAAGTCAGTTGTATAACCAAGCTGCCAGTTAGCCTCTTTGTTTCCCACCGGATAAAGGAAATGTTGCAAAAGAAATAAAAATAATTCAATGATCTAATATATATATATATCTGTGGATGCATGTAGAAGCTGATTAGTACTTGCAGTTTGCTTAGTGTTTGTGTCTTGGAGAAAACGAAAGCCCTCAGTGATCAAAGGTGTCTTGTTGTAATCAGGTTTGTTTCTTAATTATCTCTTAGAGTAGAGAAATGTTCAGTGCTCTGCTCATCCAACACCTCCAATAACTTACATCATGTCTGGTGTTTACCCATCCTTACGGGCTGACGTCACAGAGTGCTACCACATACCACAGTGACTGGCTCCAACTGATGGTTATTTAGTCAACACAGTTCAAGATGCCTGCTACAGACAACTGATCTCAGAAATACAAAAAAATTACTATAACAGTAAATGTTACGGATATTTGGATACTGATCTCATGCTGCTGATTTATTTCATGCTGCTGTGTTTGGTCATTCATACTCATCTGCTCACACAGACTCATGTTCGTGCTGCTGTTGTTCGGCGTATTGTTTCTGTACTACTAGTGCTTAGCATATTCCTAGTTTAGCGTATTTCTTAGTTCATATCTTAGCTCTTATTACTGTTTTGCTTTACAATTTATACTTTTGTTGGATGTAACTGGGACCCTGCGTACACAAGTTTGTTCCACCACATGTACCACATGGGATGTGAATCACAATAAAGAAACCTTGACCTCGATACACTTTGGTGTGGTAGTAGCTGAGACTGATCCACAACACAAACTCCAAGCACTGCACAGTGCACAGCACCTTTGCTTAACACTGTCGCATTAAAGACATCAATCCTTGTTTGTCTGTTAGCAAAACATTTTATAACAGACTGGACAGATTTTAACCAACTCACAGAAAGTTGTTTTTAGGTTTACATCTACACCTGATTAACTTTTGGAGTTAACCCAGTTTGGTTAATTTACAGCTAACTGACATTAGCCAACATGTCAACGGTTATGACACATTTTTTTGTTGCTGAGCTTAAACTGAATGTGGTAGTAGCTGAGAGTCACCTTCAACATATACTCCAAGCATATTGCACATGATCTAAACATGGCATGAGAATCCGCATAACATAATGAGGCTTGATTAAAATGGCCAAAAGGCCAATCCTTTTATAAATGAGATGATCTTGGTCTGAAAATCTGGCATAGAAGGTGGTGGCTGATCCTTTAAGGATTCCTAGAACTTTAATTAAATACTAGTTTCAGCCTTTGTAGATTATTAAATAATAGAAGAGCTGATGTTTTAACACATAAATGACATTAGTTTATCGGATTATTACTGGTAGGGTGTGAACCATGCAGGTCATTTTGACCGATGGTTACCCCTGACCGATTCTCCATCAGCAGTCGAGCTGACCGATGTGTACAAATGATAAAGATTTCTGTCACCAGCAAAAGTTTACATTCTGTAGATAAGGCGGCTCTGTTAAACCGAGGGGTGAAAGACACCGTCTGACCTCATTTTACTAATCCATGCTGTTTGAGCACTCCTCATAAGAAATGCTAAAGGCAGCACATGGTCTCAGGCTCTCCCACAGCCTGAACATCCATTTAGTTTCTCCCACTCTGACGCTCTTGGCATGTTGGTGACATGCGTGTGTTAAACTGAAGTGAGGTTGACATTTGTGATGAAAAAACTATAATCTGTCTGTATGGGTTAGGGTTAACTGCCACAGCCTGGTTGTTTTTAACAATTTGAGCTGTTTGATGAGAGCAAGAGAAAAACAAAAGTTATGGCATGTAAAAATTGACATCTGCTCACTTGTAGCTATGGCAACAGTATTAGTTTGTTAGTGAACACACCTTTGAACCCATCAGCTTTACACTCCTACATTTGTAAATGAGAATTAAACTGTATGTAAGAGAGTTTTATAATCTGTGCAAGTGTGTTGTCATTTCTGATTATAATCTGTATTTCTGTCTATGCAAGAAATCAAAAATACATGCTGTGTTTGAATAAGAATTATATTTTGAAGTTGCTCTTGACCAAAGCTTGTGAAAATAACTGTGTCTGCCTTTTTTTAAAAACTGGAAATGTATAAAACATTAAAATCAGGATATGTGATACATAATGTGCAAATCAAATGGTCTTGTTATAATCAGGTTTTAGGCAAACTGTAAAAACGTGTTGTTTATGAACTTCAGTCACACCGAGCTAAAGACTGGCTGATAACGTCATCTTTAGGGATGGTTTTACTGCTGACTATATGAGGTCAAAGATCAAATTACACTTAAGCTCTTTGCAGCTCAGTCATTTACACTATATTAAAAAAAATACTGTAAAGTCAGCATTTTCTGAACAAAATCAGATCAGAAAACAGTCAAAAATTTTATCCTAATCATAAATTTCTAATTTAATCTGATGAATCTAATGTAATCGGATTGTTTTTCTGCCTATATTTTAAGCTGCAGCTGTAATCCTTCAGCACCTTTGTTACATCTGAAACAACTCCATGACAGCTGCAGAGTATAACAAATCAAAGTGACAGATGTCAGGTGGATTTGTACTCACAGTCCTCAGGCAGCAGTCTTCAGGACGAAAGGCACCGCGTCAGTAGATGAGTCCCTCTGAGATAAACCTGCTCATAGATGTTTAAGTAAGTCTGTGTCTCAGCAGTTTTGATTCATGTTCGGGTTTTTTTTTTTTCTTGGGATATTTTGAACTTCGGCCTCTTGGCTCCTGGCTCTGGGCAGGACACGTCCTCTGCTGCCCATCCCCACCTCTCTCCTGTTGGACTCTTGCTGTCTCGCAGCAAGTTTAACCTAAAATATCCTTTTGCTAAAAAATAAAAAAAAATAAAAAACGTAAATAACTTATTCTTAAATCATTTTACAGCAGATTTGAAGATATGTAAGCAATTTAAGATACAAAAACCATGAGTTCTTTCTGTCATTATGATATAAAATATTAGCAGCAGCTTTGCTCTAGTTCTCTTATTGGTCCATTAAGAATATTTTATCTTTTCTCATTTGTAGTTTTGAAAAACTTTTATCAATTTCTCTGATTTTTATTTTTATTTTTTTTACATATAATTTCCTAAAAGAAAATCTAGACTTGGTTAAAAAAAAAAAAAAAACTCAAGTGGAAATAAAGAAGATTAATATTAAAAAGCTAATCTTGGGCTAATTAAATTTTTATCATTACTGGATAATAACCGTAATTATCTTATAAATGGAAATTCAGTAACTCTGCTTTTTCACAATTTTCCACACATTTTAAAAACAATATTTTCAATGAAAGGGTGGCACGTCCATTCTAAAATGTGCTTAGTAATGTTTTCCAAGCATTGTATAATCAGTTTGTTTTTGTGTCCTACTTTTCAAGCGTCTAAATATTTAACTTAGATGATAATTTCGACAATATGCATCGATTCCAAGCAAATATAAGTTCTAAAAGAAAACTGTGCAAACATAACTCTGTAACTCACAACAGCAGAAAGGTCGTTTAACAGACAGTCTAATGTTTTCCAAAAGTTTATCATAAATTAGACATTTCACAAGTTTTTTTATTTATTTTAATTTTGCTGCTGATTTGTTCCGTCTATAGCTGGAATTGACCCGATTCTTGCAGCTGTTCACATGTTCCCATTTCTTTTTCAGATAACATCTTAACTATTAGTTATTTAGTGAGTTAAAATAATTAGTTATTAGTTAAATACTTAACTAATATTTAACTAAGAGCTAATAGAAATTACTATTTTATACTAAACATGTTCAAGATATCACTGAAAGTAATAAAACAGTGCAATATGACCACAGGAGTGTGTTTATTGAAATGAGATTTCATGGGATACAAAGTTGTTTCTCGGCAGCTACAGAAAAGAGTACTTCATGCATTAAACCACACGCGATAAACAAAACAAACCAAGTAACGCACAACTGTACAAACAAACAAACAAACACCATTTTGCTTCAGTCTTCTTCTTTTTTGACAACAAGTGTGCTGCTGCACTATTTCTGCATTTACTGGGTACAGTATCACACATAATTTACTCTGCCAGGTTATTTCCAGTTACATTTACTGTAAAAAAAAAAAAAAAAAAAGTAAAACAAACAAGCAAAAATACATCCAGACATTCAAACATTTACAGCTTTATATGCAACCAGCGTGCATGTCAGATGAACTGCTTCAACAGTTCACATTCAGTGCAGGGTTTCTGCAGGTTATGTAAACGCAAACTTTAGGTTCAGTCACCTTTTTGGAATATTGTGTTAAATAATCAGCATGGGGTCCAAACAAACAAAGCATTACAAACATATAAAGTTGAATTTCTTTTGAAATGTTGCAACAATGACTACCAAATAACACCGTTCTGTTAAAGAGTATATATGCTGGAATACTTTGACTTTAGGCCTCTTTTATCTAAAATTTGTTAAAAGTGGGGGTTTAAAATAAGACTGGCAAAACATTTTCAAAGTTTAAAACAGTGGAAACTAAATCGTGTTTTTCAAGACAACATGAAGCAAATAACTACCATTTTTTTCTTCCGTACAAGTCACATCAGTCCAAAATGTCAAATAAAGTGGAAAAAGAAAAAAAAACATACATATGTCGCTTCGCCGTGTAAGTTGCATCTATTATTCGTCACCGCTGACCACCTGGAAATGTGTGCCGGTGTTGTGCCAAAAATCAATTGACTGCCATAATGGCGGCCGCGGGAGAGCGCACGGGAGGACTTTAACAAGAATTTAACAAGATTAACACTGAAAAACAATAATTTGTTTGCTCAACATTATAGTAAAGGTGTGTCTCAGCTGAACGTTTCCTTAATAAATGCACATTAATGGTCAAATCAGCTGCATTTCGCCTGGGCGGCGCAGTGAAATGTAGCTGATTTGATGTATGCTCCAGGAGATCCAGAGCAAGATGAAGATGGTCTATGGCAAGCCAGGTGTCTCATTAATCGTCACTTTTACTTACTAATGAGACACTGCTTGCCATAGAGCTGGAGGGCCCTCTAGCAGCTGCAAATGGTAATGTTTAATATTTTTCTTGTCAGACTGAATGAAATTATCAGATCTCAGCCAAAAATTGGGTTATAAATATATGCAACAAGATGTGACTTATACAGTGAAAAATACAGTAGGTTTTAAACCAATAAAAAATGATTGTGCATGGATCTGTGTTGCCTTTCTCTAACAGTGCAAACAAAACCCAGTTTGGATAAATAGGTTGTTTGTGATGGGATGGAGCAGGTTGTAACCTGCTTCTATCAGCTGTGGTCAACTCCAGTTCCCTCACAACCTCCACACATCAGACGCTAAGAATCCTCATAATCAAGCTGAGCTTTATGTTTCATACATATTGTGATCAAAATATACAAACCTCTTAACAGAAAGACGTTTGTTGTCACTATGGGGATTTTTTTATCTTGTGTAAAAATGGCTTATGTTGTGATTCCTGGTGTTATTAGTCATCTTCATAGAGTTTCTTTATCCTGCTCAGACAACACACACACACATACAAGCATTTAAACATTCGTAACAACCCCTCCACCGTCATGGACTCTCCATCCTGACTGTCTGATCAGGAGGTCGGCTGAGAGAGAACGACGGGTCGGTTGGAGCGAGCAGGTTAAATAAAACTGACTTTATCAACTAATCTGCTCACATATCTCTGACTTCACCCACCACAGGACTTTAAAACGTATCTGTATTTTCAAAGGTCACACTGGCACTGGTTGATGAGGTGTGTGAGTGTGTCCGTAAGACAGGACTCTATCAGCTCGTGATAACCTGCAGTAACCTCTGTTCCACTGAACTTACTGGTTGCAGCGTTTGGGTTCACTCATGATCAGCGGCAGGATTAGTCATTATCACCTTAACGAAAGCATATCGGGAGCAGCAGCACATTTACATACACGTCACAGAGCAAGTCCAAAGTTTTTGCCATTCTAATTTAAAAAATGCATGTAAAAATACTTTTACAGGTTAACAAAATACAAATATTTTCACATTCATCAACTTGTATGAATAAAAATAAGCAAAGAGCAAATAAATAGGGTTTCATAGAGCAAAAGATAAATTATATATATATTTCTAGCTAAATTTAAGAGTATAAAAATAGTTGCTACATACATTTTTTTCCACATTGTCATGCTCCTGAATGAAATAATATTTTATGTTTCATATATAATCCTTGGCAGGCAGTTTTCTCAGGATAAAATACAACTTTGAAATACAATTGTACAACAAGTCCCTTAAATCAACCAGTGTTCATGGTTTTACTCATCCTGCAGATTTATTTTTTCTAGTTCTGTTGTGTTGAAGCACATGTTGTGGGTCAGAGGTCAGACATGTAGTGGTGACTTTTATCAACCACAAAGAAAATTGACTTTTTAGTTTTTAAATGATGCTTTGACCGACTTCCTTTTTTATGTCTATTAGTTCCTCTTTATGAGACAAAACCAAAGAGGAAGAGCTAATGCATCAAGTCAATAGTGTTGCAGACAAGACTCAGAAACTGATGTTTTTGTTGACACCTTTTCTGTGTGAAAACACCACAGTCAAATAGATAGAAAGAGATAAATGAGATGTATCCAAATTATAAAATCATTAGATACTGTGTTAAAATATTAATGTATTGTATGTGCAGCTAATAAATCATAAAATATGCGCAATCATTTTTGTCAAAAAAGAGTCAGTTTAACTTTGACAGGTGTCTTTTGCAATTTATTGTTTTATTAGTGATCCAAATTTCAAAAGTAGTTTTCCAACATTCCTCACTTTCATCAAACATATGAAAATATATATCTACAAATGAGGTTTCATGAGCCACTTTAAAGGTGGACCAGTAATGCTGATTTTAATATTTTCTGATCTTTAAGTCACAGTGTTGGATGATTTTAAAACACATTTATGAAAATAAAAAGTCAGTTGTTAGCTCAGACTCCAGGTTGTTCTATGAGAGGCATTCAACGTCTTCTTTACTTTTTTTAAAAGCCACCATGAGCACTATGAGAAGCAGTGGTTCCCAACTCTGGTCCCTGCGGAACACCACCCTGCATGTTTTAGTTGTCCCTCTGCTCCAACACACCTGATATGAATGAAAGGGTGACTAACAAGCTTCTGCCAAACTTAAGGAAGTAACCCACTGAATCAGGTGAGTTGGAGCAGAAGAACAACTAAAACATGCAGGATGGTGTTCCTCAAGGACCAGTGTTGGGAACCACTGAGAAGTGTTCTATAAGGAGGAAGCAGGTAGCTTTTTCCAGAAAACTATTTTGTAAAAGACAAACATATAAACTGTGTAAAATAACAAGACTTTTGGTACAAAAAAAATCAGCTTTTCAACTTGTCTGTGGTCGGAGTCGTCATGACCAGTTTGTTTACATCCTGGCTGATTTCGAATGCATGCAGATAAACACACGGGCTGAAAAAACATTTGAAAAAAATGATTTATGTAACATGACTTCAGCTGAAAGCTTTTTTTTTTTTTAACTATAAAGACAAATTATGGAAGTGGACTCATTATACAAACATCAGCTGACTTTGCTGAAGGCCCTGAATTATTATCAGCCAACAACATCTTTAATTCTGTCTTTGGACAGACAATAAAATGAAGAAGCCAAACTTTATTTGTTTATTTATTTATATTTATCTAACATAGAGCTGAAAATAAGCACCATGGATCCTATTTAAAGATTGTGTGAGGTAATAATTATGTTTAACGTTGTAAAAATGACTTGAAAAATAAACAATGAATTGATCCTTTTAACATTGTTTGAGCTTTCGAAACCCCAAAGCAGAGGGGTTTTGCGTTAAATAAAAAAGAAACATTGGTGTGTTGTATTCTTGTTCTTGACAAACAGTAATATGTTTTAAACCAAGACTGGAAAAAAAGATAAAAATCTAAAATGCTCATTTTACATGTTTGTAAAATAAAGAGATGTTTATTTGTGGCGCGCTTTCAGCCATTTACAAAGAAATGTTTAGAAAAACACGGACAGCTCAGAGTTTGGTTTCAGAGCTTTGAACAAGTTTTGTTCACACAAACCAAAGCTTTTCTCTTTTCTTTTCTGTTCACCATTTCGGGACTAAAATAAATTGAGAAAATGTCGCCTCACCAGGTTTCTTCTTTTATCATATTTTCTTAAAAAAAAAAATAAAAAAAAAAAAAAAAAAAGCAGAGCAACATCAAAATCAAACATGCACAAAAAGAAAACATAAATAGTAAAATAACTGTACTGTTCCACACTTTTTTGTTGTTCACCACACGTTAACTTGATGTTTTTTTGGACAACTTTGCTTTCAGATAATTCATGTGTTTAATAATATATAAGACTGATCTATCACTCCTCACTGCACTGGTTTCATGTTCTTAATAATAAGCAGCACGTCTCAGTGGCTGCAGACTGCTCTCTACTTTTGGTCCTTTTTGTATTTCCAGTCATGAGGACGGGGCGCAGCGTCAAGTGCAGCCTGCCACGTATTTGAGATGCAGCGTCACCCCCAAACAACTCACAGCGAAGAGGAGACAGAATCAGAGAAGAGCAAGCAGAGGCTTGAAAACAGACACAAGAAGATTGTTTACAACGGGTGAGGAGAAAAGAAAGTTTCATTTTCTGGGCCAACAAGGATCGTCTGCATGCAGATTTACAGAGGAGGCCTCAGACAAACTCTCCTGCCTGCAGAAAGACAGTCACAGAGACAGAAACGGAGCATGAGACTGACAGTCAGGTGCATTTGAGAAAAACACAGAGAGAACCAACATGGTAGAGAAGAAGAGACAGCTGTGAGTCATAACACTGCCAGAAGGAGCTTGTCATGTTACGTCTCACATTTTCACTGAGCGTTAGCTATGTTTGGAAACTGCACACGCTTAACTCGATTGACAAATTTAGTTTGGTACCACTTTACAATTAGGCTCTCCTTTTTTTTAAGGCTCTCCTTATAAATGGCTAATAAATAGTTTATAGATACATTATTATTTCCTCTATAAACACTTTATAAATTATTAATAACTGCTTATTATGCATTAATTAAGGGTGACAGACAAAACTGACCAGTTTCTTGCCAAACAGTGAATCAGATCTGTTCATTTATATATTTTTCATCTAGAGTTGTTTTATTAAACTTTGCAGAATAAGTTACTACCGTGTAAGCACAAAAAGCATTTGTAAACCTATTTTTTAAGCATATAATATTTTATTTTATCATTGCATTATAAATATCTACAACTAATATTACATCCTAAAAAAACAAAAAAAGGTTTACAAATGCTTATTGTGTTTACAAGATGGTAACTTATGCCCCTTTTCCATTAGTACTGGTACGGGCCGACTGGACCCTACTTGGCCTGGTTCTGAGGCTTTTCTATTAGTACCGGTACTTAGCACCTGTTACTATTTTCAGTACCCTTGGCTCTGTGGTTCTAACCCGAACGAAGAGGTACTAAAACGTGACGTCAGAACACTGTCGGTCACTGATTGGTCGGGGGCGGAGTCGGGGGCGGAGTCACTGGATCCTTCAGAAACTTTTCAAAACAATGATCCGCCATTTGCAATTTCTCAGACTGAAGCAGCGGCTGGACTTATTTTAAAGATGTTAAAAACAATACTGACAACATCTTGGTCTGAAATGTTTAATATAACAGCTCTAGATGAAATATATAGGTGAACAGATTTGGCTCACTATTTGGCAAGAAACTGGTCAGTTTTGTCTTTGTCACCTTTAATTAATGCATAATAAACAATTATTAATGATTTATAAAGTGTTTATAGAGGGACTAATAATGTATCCATAAACTATTTATTAGCATCTATAAGGGGAGTCTTATTGTAAAGTGGTACCTTTTAGTTTTGTGTCTGTAAAACTCACTATTTTCATTAAAACACATTATAAAAAAAAGATTTTGCTTGCTTTACAAACTAAATGTGACAATTTCAAACAGAAATTGAACAGAAACAGCTATAACTTCTATATATGATTCTTTCTGTATATCTTACCTGCTCTGGAATATTAGCTGGCTGGAGCCTCGGGCTTCAGGCTGTAGAGTTTAGCTGCATCCTGATTGTCACAGACATCAGTTCTGGTTACTGATTCCACATTCAGACACATGCTAACAACACGTCAGCCGTAGTAGTGGCGACAGCAACAAGAGGGCAGCAATAGAGCAGAGACACAGCAGAAACACAAATCAGCACTGGAAACGTACACACTTGTAATGTACAAATATTATCAGGGCAACAAATTAAAGAATGTGGCAGTGCAGGGCAGAAAAATGCACTTTATCTATTACTAATAGTTACAAAATACAGTATGTAATATATGTTTTGAGGGGGAGCCATGTAGGCTTAGTTGGTAGAACTGCTGCCTCTCTGTGAGAAGGTCGCCAAATCAAAGAACCACAGCTTTCAGTTAAAGACAGAAAACATGAAACCCACACCGAGATAACCAATTGCAGCTTACAAAACAGACTCACAAGTCTCACCTGTTGTCATTAATATCTGTGGTATTTCCTGTGAACAGAAAAGACAGCATTAGGACAGAGATTGGAACGGAGCAGAACAACTGAGGGATTGTGGTTTACAAAAAAACACACATCTGTGTTTAATTATTACATCCCGAAGCCACTAACGAGCGATGGATTTGCATCAAGCAGCTGCATGGAGTATTTAGCAATCTGACAAACTCATCAACAAGGAAAGCAAGGCAGCAACAAGAACTTTACATACAGTCAACTCAGTTTTGCTTCTCTGATTCTGTTTTAACAACTCAAAAGACAGTTTAATAAAGAAAACCATCATCCATCGCCCCCTTTCATAAAGGTTCAACTTGCCCACACATATCTTCATGAAGAGTAAATAAACACACATGGTAGTTGTAATTTACAAGCCAGAAATATTATACTGACAGAAAAATAACACATTCTGTCTTAATCTGAACAAGTAGCGTGTTTTGTGTAGGTTTTTCTACAAAATTGCATATTTTCTTTGAATGCAAATTAGAATGATTATAATTCAGGTCAGAGTGTCCTTTTCTTAACCTAAATGCAAAAAATAACCTTTAATGTGCACAAAAAGTCACACATTGCAACATTTTTTTGTAAGAAGTAACAAATGTTCAGCTGCATTCTGACATTAGTGACAGTCTGTTTCATAATTGTTTTATTAACAATAGCAAGAAAAAAGAAGCACATAAAATCAAATAAAAAATGAAGGCACTGTTTTATTATATCTGTCTGTATGAGTGCAGGCTCACTGCTGCCACTAATTACCGTATTTTCTGGTGCATAAGTCTCCAGTTTTTTTTGTTTTTTTTTTGCATAGTTTTGGCAGTCCTGCGACTTATACGTTGAAGCAACATACTGTATATGCTTTTTTTCCCTTACCAAAACGCAATTTTTGACTGATCTAAAAATTTTGAAGAACTGCAACAGCGAGTCCTCCCTTGCGCACTTGCGTAACTCATCTGGTGCAGGCAGAGGAATGCTGGAGAGCTAGCAGCTCCGGCCGCAATGGATGATGGATGGATGGATGGATGGATGGATGGAGGGAGGGATGGATGGAT